CTTTCTGCGGAGGAAATCCAGAAGTTTGAAACCCTTGGATATGTGATGAGTGGCAGTAGGCATCAAAGGATGAATGCTATTCGTATTAGGAAAGAAAACCAGGTTTATAGTGCAGAGGATAAGCGTGCTCTGGCAATGTTTAACTACGAAGAAAAGGCCAAGAGGGAACATAAGGTTATGGCCGATCTGCAGCGGCTTGTGCAGCGCCATATTGGGCAGGATGTTGGTCCAACTCATGATCCTTTTGGCGCAAAAGCGTTGGACGGCACTGACGCTTGATTTCACATATGTTGTACATGTTTTCTTTGAAGGTCCTCCTAGTGCATTTTATTCGGCTGACTATAGATTTAGACTCTGAACTTGCCTGGGGTGTGTAGTAGTTATGGAGTATGTAACGTGAGGGGAGTATGTAACAGTAAGATGGTCTGGGATTGTTGACTTTATATGAGTTTATGTTCTCTGTGAGGAGGAAGTCTATTTACCCACTTCAAAATGCAATGAATTATGTAATTTTATTTGTTATGACTTTCTTAAAAAGAAAATTTCTCATCCAATCGTTCAATACTCTATATGGCAAATTTTTAAGTTGAATGTGATACTAAACCAAGGTGTAATGCATTCATGAAGAGAAACAAAGATCATTTCTTTATGATCTCGTTATTGCTTCTCCACTAATACATCTTCAAACAGTATATATGCATCGGACCTCACTTAAGACTCCTTGAATGAAGCCAGGAGATAATGTCATCATGAATGCTAATAATTCTGTCATCAAATCTCCTTCTAACATGTGGTGGTAGCCTCCTTCATAAATCTTCAGGGTCTTATCTTTGATTGACACTTTCTCATGAAACTGGCTCAATACAGGATCTGTTATCTGCTCCTCCATGAATAATCAGCAGGGGCATTTAGTCGTTTAGATCCTCTTGGTGGCCATTTTCTCTGCGTCTCTCAGAAGCTTTTCAAATTACATCTGAGCTGTCCATTTTGTTATAATCCTAGCCATCCATTCAATTCCATATTCTGCCAAATCCCTGCAGCCTTCACAGATACACTTTCCTGTAAGTTTCCAACCCCGTTGGTGAGCTTCATCGTTGCCCATTGTATGGCATTATGAGAGTCTCCATAGCTTTCTTGAAAGCAGCTTATTCGGTCAGCTTATTTGGTTTGGCATCTACATCACAACTCTTTCTCCATATCTTCGCCCTTCTTTTCCTTCCCCTTCTACTGAGTAAGACCGATAGATGCCTTCAAAGACAGGAGAAAGTTATCTTGGTTTAATATTATAATATATAGCTGAGAGATGTGGACTTGACGAAGCTGTAATCGCTCTGAACTGTGCTTCTTCTTATGCTTCTATTTTTCCCTTCCATTTAAATAATTTGAAGTTTTTGTTCTGAATTTCTTGATCTGATTGAATTGGGATGATGAGCGATTACAAGGAGGAGATGATCAATGACGGCATGCGGGAATTTTATGTGCATTTTCTTGGGCCTGAACAAAATAAATTTTTTCATCCCTCTGATTTACATTTCTGTTTATTTCAGACTGATTATTTGTATATGTATCTTTAGTCTGAGCATGTCTTTGACATTTGTTTGTGAATGGTTTATAAACTTGTGGAAATCTGCATTTTTTGTTGGTGCAACTGTTACATTTGGAAGTTTGTTTTGATCTTAAGATGAGCAAAGCCGGTTCTAGTTTGGCTGGAAGAATTAGGTTAGGGAATCATCCTTTTTTTTTTTTTTTTAAAATCATTTTATTAAAGGAGGTCTTCTAATCTGTTTGTATCTCCTCTATACTTGTTATTAGTAGTAGTCCCCATGGTTTCTCTGTTTTTGAACAAAATCAAATGCGATTATAGTCTGACCTTTGTGAGATGTTAGTTGATGGTTGTATCATGATTTACTCCAGTTTTCCATGCACAATCAGAGTCAATATACTAGTGGTAGTGAGTCTCATCTCCAGATAACAAGATCAGGAGAATAGAGGAAGAATTCTGGCGATGAAAATGTCTTGGCAGATTATTTTAAGTTACTCTCCAATGAGGCATGATGCCTGTTAAGGAATTTTTTATTAACCTTTTGAAGCTCTGCACTGTGAGCATGCTTAATATTCTCTTCTGTCATCTTCAGGTCCAGGAGACATAATTTTTATTTTCTATTGCAAGAAGCCATTGTTTCAAGTTGTATGTACTTATTGCTTGTATTATGCTTCAAAGAACAATATGAATCTGATTCTTGAGCATTATTTTGTGATAATGTAGTGAGAGCCTTTGAAACAAGTCTTGACTCTTGATTACTTTCACTCCCAATAATGCTTCTGGACACACACGCACAAATCTGGCTCAGTCTGCTTCGATGTTATTAACAAGGGAGGCCCAAAAAAAAGAAGCTATTTAGCAGACCTGGAGTCCCATGTTTGGTAAGCTGCACTGCTATATTGAACAAAATTTCTAGTCAGAATTGCTAGATTGAACTAGCTGAAGTAAGGTACAAGGTATCATATTGTACAATACAGAATTGCTATAATCAAAACTTGCTTCCATGTCAGCCGTCATGATAAGCAAAATAGGCACTTAACATTTGTTTGTTCTTCCCTGAAGAAAAGGCAAAATGATATTAAAAATAGGCACTTAACTTGCCGCCATACTGAACAAAATACAATTTGCTGCATAGACGTTGTTGAATTGACTTCATCAACAAAAGAGCTTGCTGGATTGAATGACTGGATTGTTAGATTTTGAATTGTCATTATAGGTATTGGCTGCCTTATCGTCCTGTTGACTAAATATTGTGAAGTTATGGAAGATGGATCTTCACTTGTTTGGAACTAATTGGACATTGTTGAAACTGTTATGGAAGATGGACTTTCAGCAAGTAAGACAAAGGAAAAAGAAAGAAGAGCAATGTAGATGTTAGCAGAGGGTCATAGAAATTCGAAATTCAACATTTTTAATATGTTTGAATGTATTAAAGAGTGATAGTTGTATTTGACATCTTGATGTATGATGGACGTTGATTTTAATGAAACTGACATTTTTCCTTAAATTTGTCCACATTTCTGTCTGTGAAAACATAAATTCCTCTTCGTGCAACGATGGTTTTAGACACCAACTTTCATGAAGAAAAAGTCATCAAGGACATGGCAAAACTAGCATACACTCACGCCAACTTTCTCACCATCTAATATTGGACATAAAAACTCATTATATTTAGTCTCCTTTTAGTCTTCAAATAATTCTTTATACCAAGTGGAATGAACTCAAGATTAGCTAATGCGTTTGCCTAGTCAAAAATTACTTCTTGTGTTAGTCCCACGTTTCTAATAAAATCAAATCTCCTAAAGATGCAATGAGTAATTATGCTTTCCTATGAAGTTGAAGATTTAGATTTACTTTTAACTAATTTAATTGTTATCCTAACTTTACAATCATTTTTAGTCGTCAACTAGTGGTTAGTGGCTGGGGCATATTTTTTTATCTGGTTTTTGTTTATCCTCTTTTAAACAAATATTTATAGCCAATAGTTGTCTTTTCATCTTTCTTACCCTTTGACAAGCCATTGTCTTTTGTGCTGAGGCTTAAAAAAGCATATTGATTCCTAAACCTCCATGTCCCCCCCCCCCCAAAAAAAAAGTCTAACATGTCCCCTTTACATTATGAAATTCTTTTCCTAATCCAAGAGGCAAATCAGCTTCCATATTCCATAGATTGAAACCTATAAAAAATATATATATAATACAGCATTATCTTGCCTCGTGCAATAAAGACTGGCGTTTGTTCAGCCCCCCTCCTTAGAAATAGATAACTCCTCCACTTGGAATTTATAAGGCGAGTAGGGTCTGCCAATTGCAGTAGTAGCCAACTAGGATAGCAAATGGCCATCGAATTTATATCCAAGTACATGTAGATGAACTAGATTACCTTGTGTGAAGCTTTCCCTCCGAGCTCTGCCCGGGGAATGTCAAAGTGTTCCTGATTGTTTTAAAGGCGTCAAATATGCGTGGCCAGGATCATACTTAGAAGAACGGTTCTGATGCAATTTTAAATACTTCATGAAGTGTCTCTTTGTGAGCAATCAGATGAATTGAGCGGGTAGGATATTAAGTGAGAGGTGCAGAGAAATCAGTTGCTGAGAGGATTTGCTCCCTCAGCAGAGGTGCTGAAACCTTCAATTCATGCATAACAATTCAGAAATGACCATAAGGAGCTTGAAGAGCAATCATATGGTTTATAATTAATCGATATAGAGGTTACTTTAAAGCAGGGAATATAATTGGTTTACTTGGACTTTATTTAACACTATGTTTAGCATGGATTTAATATTAATTTTATTTTTTTTGAGTAAAGAATATTAATTTTAAATAGATCATAAGACCAAATATTATTTAAATATTAAAAGGAAACTTCATATTTTATTGAATTAGAAATTCAAATCAAAATATTTAGAAATAATAACACCACATGGCAAAATCACATTTGAATCTGATAAATGAGACCAGCGTTAAAAGACAAGCCTTCATGAAAACGTTTTCAACAATATAATATCCGATTTCCACCTATAGTTAAGCACGTTGTTTCATGTACCCAACATAAAGATGTAATGCCAATATAATTTTCTTGTACTCCTCCAATCTTTAATCCAAGACATAATTAACTAATTTAAATAGATTATTATTGTTAGTTAAATTAGTTAATATAATTAATTAACTAATTTAAATAGATTACTATTGTTAGTTAAATTAGTTAATATAATTTTTTTAAACACCCTTAACATATTCCTTAATTCTCCCCCTCCTTTTCCTACTTAATTATTATTAAGTGAGTATCAATATAGTTAATTTGAAAAAAAATTAATAAATATGTGAAATAAATCTAATATAGAAAACTAACATCAATTCTCTAATTAAGTCTTATATTGAGCACTGAGAGTATTATCATAATAAATACGTTTGCTTGCATTTGTTTGCGTGAGTCAACACCCCTTCGACATGATGTGTGAAAATTTAAACCAAATATAAATTATCAAGGCATCATATTCCTGAAACTTGTTTCTCCCAAGACCGCCTAATGACTCAGATACATAGTCAGCTTGTCAAGGCGAACCATCCCCAAGGTAAAACTATTTTTTTCCTGAATGCGTTATACAGTTATGGTAATAATTACATAATTTTATTACATGATGCACAAGCATAGATGACTGCCATGATGTTTTTCTGAAATCAAGGTATAATCCTTTTCCCCCCCTCACAATCACTGTTACCATTTTAAGCACACTAAGAAGATCTCCCCTCCAGCTTCGAGGGTCCAAAACCAATGGTGTGTACCAGTGCTGCAGCTGCCCGTGCAGCTGCTGAAGCTCGGTCTGCAGCAGCAATGGCGGCTCGAGCCTTCTCAAGCACATCACCGGATTGAGATCTTGTCTCTCTCTTGGCATCATCAGAATGAAGATCACCATTTTTAGGTGATGGTTCAATTTCGTGAGTATTAAAATAAGATTTATTGTTAGAAGGTGTGCGAGATTCAAGGTGTTCATAGGCTTGTTTGTTATGCACAGGCATTTGAGAATGTTTCATGGTTGAAGGCGCTGAAGTGAAAGAACTCGATTTGCTGTGATTCTGAGAAGCCATAGCTCTACCACTAACTTGCTTTGCTCCAGCCTATGGCAAAATTGTGAGAGCAACATAAAACAGGATGTCTGAAATTCTGAGTGAGAACATCGAGAATTAATTGAAATGAAAAATGTAACGTATCAGAAAGTAAGGTCAAAGATGATCGACGAACATATCAGTTAACTTGCTCGAAGGCAAGAGGTCAAAAGGGGAAAAATGATAAGCTAGACATTGTCAGGACAACCGCTTCTCAAGGTCAAGAAAAAGAAAATCTCTACGAAGACAAAAATGGGCAAATCCAATGCCCAATTCATATTTATCAAGCGACACCTAACAAGGAAAAACCAACTTCACCGATGATCAAAATGTCCTGACAAGATAAACAACAGAGCTAAGTTTTGGGATCAAATTATATGCAAAAATAGTTTGGGCACAAAAAAATTACAATTCCAAGGTAACAGTCACAAGTGTTAAACAAGCTTCTACCTTGACTATGTTAAATCATATCAAATCATCTAACTGCCCACCAAATAGAAAAGCATGAATATAGTGGATAAACAAACAAACAGCAAGGATAGTAAAAATAAAACAATATCAAGCACATGATACATTCGCAACTGATGTTAATCACAAGGTTTGAGATATCCAACAGCTACAGTCCACAATTTGCATCCTAAACATTTCTTGAAGAAATTGACCTTGTCAATTCAGAAGGAGAGAGAGACACAATGTGAGAGTTCATGTGGAGTATGTGCAGTGAGGTAGAGAGGGAGGGAGGGCTCCGTGCTGTATATATTTGGGCAGAAGGGTTTAATGGGAGGTTAAGCAGACAGTGAGTATTGTAAGGGAGACACTCTAGCCTCTTGAATGCTAGGCAAACAGTGACTGTGAGTTTTTGCTTTATTCTTCTATTTTCCAGAAACTTGTAGCTAGCTATTCTAGCTTAGACTTAAACACTGGCTAGATTTTTCATCTTTTAACAATATATTTGAGCAGTGGGTTCCATCATTTTCGTATCACTGTTTAGATCACATTTGGCAGAGAAAAATATATCAAGGAAGAGGTACAGGCCGAGGCAGAGGGGCAAATTGAGGAGAGAACTTCTGGAGTAGATGAGGATGTGAAGGAAGAGGGAAACAGAGAAAGCGACAGGTGAGGAAATAACTGTAAAAGAGGTTAAGTTACAGAAAACAGAAGAAGAGGAGAAGCCTGTTGAAACAGAGAAGAAAATAAAGGTGGTATCCGAAGAGGAAGAACTTGTAAGTGATAAGAAAGAGGGAGAAAAAGAGGGGGGAGAAAAAGAGGGGGGTGAAATTGAAGTTAAAAAAGCTAACGACTTAATTGAGGAAGCAGAGGAGTAGCTGCCATCTAAGGAGAGAAACGAAGATGGAAATATTAAAGGAGGAGGTGTTATCAGATTTAAGGTTGCAGTGGACAGCAAAATGAATCAGAAGGTGTTTACATGCTGTTCGAGGCTGCAAAAACCAGTCACAAAATGGGAGCGCCATTTGCAAGATGGTGAGGTGTTTAGACAAGACAGGTGGAGTCGTCATCTAATTTACAGGCTGACAATAGCAGAGGAGGTCAAAGAGAAGGGCGCATGTGACCAAAAGGAATGGGTTTTGGATCAGGTTAGAAAAATAAGGTGAAGCAGAAGCCCGAAATTGAATGTGCAAGTTAAATTTTCTGGTTCTGTTAACAGCACCACAGTGACTCAATTACCAGACCAATTCTAGCAAACCCTTACCCAACTGAAATAAGAAAGAGCAAACACACAATTCGCTTCATTGTCTGCGCATTCTAAAGCTTAGCAGATGATCTCCACGGTGAAACACATTGGATTGAAGTGTTATTTCTTGGTTGTGCATATTCATGGCAGGAAGCATATGGCAAAAAACAATAAAGTGCAGCTCATACATGGAATACAAGAGCAAATAGGAATGGAACTGCTATTGTTTTGTCTTAGGCATTGTCGATCAAGCCAACCATGTTCTCCCACTGACAAGAAAAATGATTTATAGAAGACAAAGCTGCTCTTTAGCATAAACAACACATCAATGGGATCAATGGGATCACCTGAATCTGATTGTGATGAAAATTCGTATGATGTGATTAATTTATATGCTGCAATAATGAAGGAAGAAACCAAAGAAATACTAAATAAATGAACTGATAAAAGTACCAGGAGATCTTCATGATTTTTACTGAACTCTGCTTCAGTTTTGGAGTAATCCCATGCGACATTGTATTCTTCTGCAATTTCTCTCAACACCTTAAGCTTTGCCTCTCCAGATGGAGCATGAACTGAAAGTTTTTCAATTATCTGAAATAATAATGAGAGAGAGAGAGAGAGAGAGATTATCATCCAAGAAAATAAGAGAAAGAGATGAATTGATAACAGTAAGCAAATAAGTAGAATCAATAATCTGAAATTAAGAATCAATGGGATTGGGTCTAATAGAAAGAGCTAATTTTTTATAATGAGGCAAACCAAGGTCCAAATCCCACTAGAAGAGGTGGTCAATTTAGTGCATGCCGTGTTTGGAACAGTAATATGAAATTAAGATAATTCAATAAAAGATACTTTACCGTACGGTTCACCCCTGAATCAGGACGAAGTTCAGATGCTGCAGATACGAATTCCTTCCCATATTTTGTGGTAAACAAGTTTTTGACGTGTAATAAATCTGGCACATCAGAACATCTGGGGGCAGCAAAAATAATGCTTGCAATGGCTTCTCGCAATTCTTGAGGGCACTCCCTATTATGTTAGAAAGTAAAGCTTAAAGTTTGCAAAATATGGATAATAATCAGCTTTCGGAAAACTGCATCATTAGGAGAAAAAAATTAATTAGTGATAGCCTTCTTCAGAACTTTAAATGTACGCTCATTATACATTGTGTAAATTTATCCCCCTTAGAAAAGAAAAACTTTGTGGGAAAATAATAGGATGCAAATCGAAAATTGCAGAGGTCACGAAAATAAAAATACTACTTAATTTGCAAGACTACTGCACTTCATTTTGATAAAGTAATCAACAATAAAGGAAAGTAGAGTAGATAGCACGTCCATAAAGCACTTAAGAATTAAGATCGATGGACTTACTTCTGGTTCTCAATTACTGGAACGCGCGCAAGAACAAATTCACAGAATAGCTCTAATATATCATATGCAGCTCCTGTATTTTGCTCCCTTATGATATGTTCCACCTAGTTAAATCACCAAAAAAGTAATAAACGCCAAGTCAACATAAAGAAAATCTAACGTCGAACCAATTAGCTACCACCGAAAATTGAAAGATTACCCGAATTCGAGCAATTGGCTCTTGGCCAGCCTGCAAAAATTGGGCTATTTCCTTGCGCATCTGTTTTAATTGCAGATCTCTCTTGTTTTGCAGCAGCTTGATGCGAGATATCGCCAAGTTCAAGCATGTTTTACTGCAGAACGCAAAAATAAGGAGAGGAGAAAAAGGAGGCAATTTCATTACACGAAGATATTCAACAGAACAATTGGTAAAATGTTCATTCTATTCATTCAAAATTCAAAGTACGAAGCAAGAATGAAACCAGCACAACTCCAAATGGCTACTTAGAGGAACAACAAGTCGCAAAACTATCCCAATCAGGTCATACACATTGGGTTCATTGAAAAAAATTCGAACAGTCCACCAGAAAAAGCCAGATTGGAATCGAACTTATTCCCATTAAGCAACTTGATTAAGTGAATAGGTGAGCAAACAATCAAAACATGAATCAATAGGTTATATGGCCAAAAGAAATCCACTAATTAATTCGACGGCACGACGAAGAGAGAGCAGATGGAATTCAATTACAGATCGGCTACTCACCATCTCGTGCCAAAAACGCCCCGGCTAAAGAGCTGATTAAGAAGCGACATGGTGGAGATGGTACGATGAAGCCTCTTCGAGGATTTATAATCGAAGCCTCGATAGGAAGAAATAGTGAAGCTAGATAGGGTCGGACAAAGACCAGATCAAATCATCTTGCCTCTCTGGCGATTAGGTGCAGGGGTGGGAAAATTAAACAATTAAGTGAAAATGGGATAAATCCTTTAATTGGAAATTAATTGGCAAATACTTCCTCAGTATCTTATTATAAGATCTAATTTTTTTGAATGAGTTTATTTTTTTATAAGATCTTCTTTGATTTTGTTTGAATATTTAATGTAGTATTATATATTTTACTTCTACTTTAATGTATTTCATACATTCTCTTTCTTTATTCATCTCACTATTACCTCCTCACATTTATTCATTTATATATAAGGGTATATTTGGAAAAAAAACTGAATTTATTACATATTAATTGTTTTTAATTAATTTTAACTGTTTTCTTAAACTATATAATTTAGTTAAAAAGCTCTTATAATAAGAGACGGAGTAGTAACCATCTCTTATGCAACCATCTTCATTTGTATCACATTTTCTCCACATGCTTCTGGTTTTTTGCTTTTTCCAACCTCTTCCTAGTGCTAGGTAAGTGCAAGTTATTTTCTCTATATACAAATTAGTCTTTCATACTCCTCCGGTTCTTAATATAAGACTTAATTTTTTAGTTGGTTTTGACCTTAAATATAAGATCCATTTCTTATATTTATCAATTTTCTCTAAATTACCTCTATGAATACTCTCTCAAGCATAATCAGATAGGAGAGGGAGAGGAGTATTAAGAAAGATGATTATGGTGTTTTAGAAAAAATGTGTCACTTTTGCTATAATTAACTAACTTACCTAACTTTCTTAATCTAATCAAATTAATTAAATAGGTCTTATATTAAGGACTGAAGGAGTATTTAAGTAATATTTTTGGCAAATAATATCATTCATGTGTAATTTAACTCTTTGTATTTTTAAATACAACTTACAACCTAGCACTTTATGAAACATTTGTCAATTCATTTTTGGGAAAACTAATATGGCACTCCTCACACTTTAACTTGATTTTGAATCAAGTCCTTGGAGGTTTTTTCTTTTTTATTGGCTCCTCCAAATTATCTCCGTTGAAGCCGTTGCTCCCTTGCACCCAAAAACGTTTCAACACATTGCAAACGGCATCAATTGCAAGAAATGTGGCTTGTAGAATATACCCAACAAACACGTGTTATATGCTGCCACCTTGGAGACTCACCCCTTCAGTTTCTTCGCACTGAATTGTTCCCTTGTTTCTAAACCCCTTTCTCACTTCCCCACCTTGAAAGCCATTAAATTTCTCAAGTAGAAACCCACTGACGATTGACATTTTTGAATAAATAGATTTATTAATGATTTATTTTATCATAATCTTTCAAGTCGAGAACAGACATCCTGATGGGTTCTACTTCTTGATTTATTTATTATATTTGAAGGAATTCACTCTTCTTATCTTGCTCTGCAAAACATTTGAATGAATTTTGCAAACAAGAAGCAATGGCTAGTAGAAGAGAAGCAGGAGGAGGAAAGGTCTGGAGGCAACATAAATGTTAGAGAAGGAAACACAACGACGAAGCTTCTTATTCATCTGTTTCTTAATGTTTTTTAAGCAACAAGTTCAAAAAAGTATGATTTTTGCATTCAATTGCATATGGTTTTTCTCATAATACCCAGATTCTCATAACACACATATCAACACTCCTTTTGTTGACATCTCACCCATCATGATCTTCCATCCCCCTCACACATGACGAAGAATCATGCCTCCTTTCATACATGTTTGTTAGTGACCTTCTCCTTCCCTATCTGCGGCCATGGAACCCTAAATCTTTTCCTTGTTCATTTTCATTGTTTCGAACTCCGGTCTTGAGGTGAGATATCATAATTCTCCCGCCATCAAGCCAAATTATTCGAACCCTAAATCCCCTTTCCAAGCCTTTTGAAGATTGAGCGACTCCATAGCTCGTTATTCCAACTCCAAATCATCCCCCCATTAGACAGGTCACTAGCCATGAACGCCGTTTGCAACGTCTTGAAACGTTTATGGGTGCAAGGGAGTGACGGTTTTAACGGAGATAATTTGGAGGAGCCAATAAAAAAGAAAAAAAACTCCAAGGACTTGATTTAAAATCAAGTTAAAGTATGAGGATTACCATATTAGTTTTCTCTTCATTTTTTAACCGTAGATTTATGTCAATTTTCCCATCAATCAAGTAAGCAGCTCACATTTTAAAAACAAAAAAAGAGACAACGTATATATTATAATAAAAAATAATCCCCAAATCCTTTTACTTTTGTCTAATTTTAATTATTTTTCATAATTTTTGCTCAAATACTGTGTTGTAATACTACCTCCCGTTATTAATATAGAACCTCGTTTGACTTTTATTTTGATCCTAAATAAAATACCCTAATTTAATATTTATGTATTTTTTTTCAAGATAATCCTTATAGTTCTATTCAACACACTTGATTAGCAAAGATATTTTGGGAAAGACAACACTTATTTATGACAAATAACTAACTTAACTTCTTTTCTTAATCTCTCCAAATTAGTCAACTAGCTCTTATAATTAGGACTGAAGGTAATAGCTTTTATTTTTATCTTAAATATAAGACCTCAAACCACTTTGTCTCTAATATTTATGTATTTTTTTCTCAATATAGTCCTCCTACCAATAGTAGTTCTATCCAACACACTTGATTGGTAAGGATATTATAGGAAAGAAAAAACTTATTTATCACAAATAACTAACTTAATTTTTTTTTAATCTTTCTAAATTAATCAACTAGTTTTTATAATTAGAAACGAAAATGGTATTAAAAAAAAAAATTTAACCGAACTTCCAACAATCCAACCTTATCGGTCAACTAATAAGATCTATATAAATATCTACCCATCGTCCCTTGTCACTCACCGCCAGAAACCCCGATGGGAAGGCCAGCCTCCACAATCGAAATCCCCGACAAACGGCACCGTTCGAACAGCCGCTACACCCCTGATTCCGATGTCTCTGATGACTACCGAAGCCGTCGTAGTCCTAGTTATGAATCATACGGTCGCTCCGCTGACAACGATCGTTACCGCCGTCGATCGGAATCACCTGAGTACAGAAGCCCTAGATACAAACATGGAAATCTGAACGGCGATGCTTTGCCGAAGCAATTCGGACGTGGAGATCGCCGCGGAAATGGCGTATTTCTCGACCGAGATCGTCGCGATGCTGGGCGCTTTGATTCTGATTCTGATTCGGACGAGGAGTTCAAGGGCTTGAGCTACGAGGAGTTCAGAAGGTTAAAGAGGCAGAAGATGAGGAAGATGTTAAAACGCTGTATTTGGAATGTGACGCCGAGTCCACCAAGAGGTGAGAGCGATGATTGGGAGGAGAAAATGGAAGGAATTCCTGACGAAAACGGGCATGATGATGTGTTCAAGACTGAGTCGGCCGGCAAGGAAACTAAATCGAAAGGGGAATCTGAATCTTCGTCTGAGAAATCTGCCAGTAGTGAATCGGAGAGTTCGTTCGAGTCCGAGTCTGATTCTGAATCAGATGTTTCCCGCTCAAGGAGGAAGAAGAGAAGGAATTCAGGCTCCAAGCGCAGGAGTAGGAAGTCGTACAGCCACACTGAATCTGAGGAAAGTGAGAGTGAGTCTGAAGAAGATCGTCCGCGGAAAAAGAAATCGATTAAGAGTAGGAGAAACAGAAGCAGACGTAAAAGGAGCAGTAGGAAGAGGAGGAAGAGAAGAGACAGCGATTCGGATGCCAGTGAGGACAGTGAAAGTGAGGAGTCTGATGGTAGTCGATCCACAGATGATCGTGAGAGGTCGAGGAAGAAACGTAAGCTAACTTCGGGTTCTCGATCAAAGGATAGCAGGAGAAAGAGACGGTCTCGTGAGAAAAGTGACGATTCTGACTCTGAAGAGAGTTCGGATGCTGAAGGTGATGCAAAGAGCAAGGCGGAGGAGGTGAAGCCAGAAATTAATGCTGAGGCGCTGAAACTGAAAGAATTGTTTGAGTTGCAGAAAAAACCCGCATTGGATGATGAACCCGTGGTTGGACCACAACCTTTGCCGAGAGCTGAGGGCCATATTAGTTATGGTGGGGCGCTCAGGCCTGGTGAAGGTGACGCCATTGCACAGTATGTTCAGCAAGGAAAGCGTATCCCTCGCAGAGGTGAAGTGGGTCTTTCTGCGGAGGAAATTCAGAAGTTTGAAAGCCTCGGATATGTGATGAGTGGCAGTAGGCATCAAAGGATGAATGCTATTCGTATTAGGAAAGAAAACCAGGTTTATAGTGCAGAGGATAAGCGTGCTCTTGCAATGTTTAACTACGAAGAAAAGGCCAAGAGGGAACATAAGGTTATGGCTGATCTGCAGCGGCTTGTGCAGCGCCATATTGGGCAGGATGTTGGTCCAACTCATGATCCTTTTGGCGCAAAAGCGTTGGACGGCACTGACGCTTGATTTCACGTATGTTGTACATGTTATGCTTGAAGTTCCTCCTAGTGCATTTTATTCGGCTGACTATGGGTTACACTATGGTGTTGGATATGTAGATGTAGTTATGAAGTATGTAGCAGTAAGCCGTTTTGGGATTGTTAACTTCATTTGAGCTTATTTTCTCTGAGAAGGGGGAGTCTTTTACCCACTGAAATGAGTAATATGTTGTATTATTGATTCTATCATGTCTATTGAATTTTGCAAATAATATCTAATTTATATTTGTTAGGACTTCTGAAAAAAATTCTCATGCGATCGACAAGTGGGTATCAGTAAGAGATCTTCTTTTGGTTGGGAGGAAAATGTAGACGACTAGGATATATGGCAATTTTGTTGGTTGAATGTGATATTAAACCGGGCGAAAGAAAGATCATTTCTTTGTGATCTTCTTTCCACTGCTTCAGGTACAGACAGTATGCATTGGACCTCATTTAAGGCTCCTTGAATCAAGCCACGAGATGATGTCATCAAGAGCACTGAAAATTCTGTCATCAAATTCCCCTTCCAAAATGCAGTGGTAGCCTCCTTCATAAATCTTCAGGGTCTTGTCTTTGCTTGACGCTTTCTCATAAAGAAATTGGCTCACTGCAGGATCTGTCACCTTGTCTAATCCTCCATGAATAATCAGCAGCGGAGCTGAAACCTTCAGTTCATGCATAATAAATCAGAAATGATCATAAGGCAAAATTATAACAGAAGTTCCCACACCCAGAAACACACCTTCTGCACTTGTGACTCGATATCTTGCGTGGCTCTTAGAAGTTCCATGCCGGTTTTCAACCTCGTTCGATCATCATATGAAATAACATTGTACGCAGCCTAGAACAGATAATATATTTCATGAACAAAAAATGACCAACGCAGAAAGATATGATTCAGCTTGATGTGGTATGTGTGACTGCATTATTATTTTGTCGTGTTATTAAAACAAGTTTTGTATCATTGCGTTTTGCTTGGACAGGAAAGGCGATATATTGTTGGTTAGAGTATTAAGTAGAGATGGATCAATAAAATCTAATCCCTGAAATAATGCATGTATTAAGTGAGAGATTTCAGTATCTGTATGAAGATCTTCAAAGATTTTTCCTTTTTGGCTTGAAATTTGTGGTGATAGTCAAAGCCAAGTGTGCAATAAAATCACCATTTGGAAAGTACCATTGCTTTAAACCGTGTTGGTGTGAGTTCATCCATTTGTTTGAAGTTACAACTCAATAAAGGCCAAAAACTCAGATCAAAATGAAAAGAATAGAATTATATGCTAGGATTGCCTCTTGACCAGTTAACTTATCAGGCCAAGCTACATGCTTAAAACTCCCCACTTCCTTACAGTGTCATGCATTTTAAATGTGATCATTTGACATGCAAAAAAAATTTCAGGCAGAAAAGAAGCATTATTATAAAAGAGGAACCAACCAATTTTCTTTTGCTCGGGTCTCTGAAGGAGAGCTCAGTTAGATCTTTCTTTGGGAAGAGTTTTGCTTTTGGCATCACTTTTGACAGAAGATTTAACACCTTCAAAACTGCAGGTGATGGTAACAAGCCCTCTCCAATCTTGGCAACAACAAAAGATCACCTGGTCAAGCTCTTATTTGACAGATAAACTAATGCAGTCCCCAAGTAGAATGTAATTAAAAAGAAATGAATGGCCGTACTTCATTATATTGAATTTGTTGTATACGAAGTTCATCATATATGTGGTATGTTCCTCATAATATTGATATTAAAAACTTCTTTAGTGCTTTATATGCAACAATAAGCAAAGCCTGGTCAAAACCATAACAATAGAAATTTCACAAGACGAAAACTAGTGCACCAAAATCCAATAAATGCGTCTTTCATACTGTGCGGGCATCTATCTTGAAAGTAAAATCAACTGCAAAATTTCCGGAAGCAGTTACATATGTAAGACTCGTGCAGATATGCACAATGGCATTTAGCTTGAGGAGCTTCGTAAAAGTTAGGTCTCTTTAACTTAGTCATCAAGAGTTCAACGGGGATCCAATTACTCAATCATTTTCAAGCCCACAGAGTGTAGTAATGACATAGTCGGACCTCAAAATGTTTATATTTTCTCTCATTGAAATAGAACATGATTAAAGTTTCAAAATACAGGTTCAAATTCTCAAGTTGACCCTGATGAAGGCTATTCTAAATATTTCATGGCTTTGCTGGGCAAGGGTAAGAATAAGAATAGTCATCTTCACTTCCCTTCATTCTATTTTCACATTAAGCTCTCTCAAGCCAGGAGCACCAAGCCCTGGCACATTGAAATCTGTCAAAGAGGGTTAATTATCACCACTTAGAGGCTAAATGATCTGATCTTTGATGATCTGATATCTTACAGACAACTAAAACTAGGAATATTGTGTCTTAGGAAAAGGTAGCTCCTTATAAGACCATTCTCCCAAGCACAGTAAAGGAGTTACTAATCCCTTGCATCAATTCTAACTGACTTGGCAGTGTGTTGAATGTCTGCATGAACTAAAAACCATTTTGGAGATTTCTAAGGCTTCCATTGATCCTTACAATTTTCTGCAATAGAATGACAAAACGAATCCTGTAATTGCACATCAATGTCAGACTTGTCTCTTATCATTCTACTTTCAGCTGCCTCCTGCAAATTAGTTTTCCGGTTGACATTTAAGTCTGCAGCTCCGAATTCTCACAGCCAGGAACTGATTTTGTATTATGTGCATCTGTTTTCCTTTTAGCACACATTCCGGTGATGGTAAAGAAAAAAGGGGGGAAAAAAAAAAGTGTGTCTTGCAGCTTCAAGCAATACTTCATTTGATTCCCAGTGAGGACCCTCTAAAGTCAGGAAAGCAAGCCAAAATCCAGCATAGCAGGAAACAATACCAAGATTGAAGCCGTGTTCATCTAAATTTAACATTATATGCCCGATTCACCACCTCACATTTTGGTGGACAATGAGTGTAATACTTGTCAAAAGCACAGAATTTTGAGTTGAAATACATAAATAATAATCCATATGGTAAATAGCGAACTCCCAAGAAAGTCATTCAATATCAAGCTTCAATTTAGAGGTATGGGCTTACTTTACACATTGGTGCTAAAAGGATCAGTCCATCCCAATTATTTGGTTCCTTCAAGTGAACTTTAAGAGAAACTGCTCCACCCATTGATTGCCCCATTATAAATTTAGGCAACCCTCTCAGCTCAGGCCTTGCTGTTGGTTAAGATAGAAAGCATGGTCAGCAACATTTTGAGCTTTGACAATTCAAAATATTACAGCAACAATCATCTTAAAAGATAACACAATGGATGCTCAAAATATCATACATTTAATTGATGCAAACTGTTCTATAACGTCATCAACCAAATCATCAAAATTTGATACGTGTCCGTGTAGCCCTTCTGAAAGACCAAAACCTGGATAGTCCATAGCATAAACACCAAATCCAGATGCAGCAATTCTCTTGGCTACACCTGAAATTTTCAATATTGACTTTGCTAAATTAGAAGAGGCACGAATTATTACTCAGGGTAATCTCAATGGAAATGGGACATTTTAACCAATTCTCAAATGGCTTTATCACAAACCTTCAAAGAAGTAGGTACAAGTACTGCCATACCCATGGCAGAAACACAAAGCGGCCTTAATTGGAACTCCAGATTCCGGCATCCATCTTTTGCAGAATATTTCCAAACCTCTCGAATTCCGTTCGTACCACTAAACATAAAATTGAAAGCATTCCAAGTCTTAAACTTTAGAACATGCTTTATACAGTTTTAGGTAATGAAGCAAAGCAGAACAGCTTACTTCCTCGGTTCTGATCCCAGTAGGAGCCATCTACAATATGCCATCAAAGATTAGGAGAGGAAGAAACTCAAACCATCAGCAATTCTTGAACAATGCCATAAGCAAAAACCAATAAAAGAAATCAACTAAATCAAGTAGTCGTAACTGAAGCTCAAGGTTGAACAAGATCAAGATTAAGCTAACCTTGAATAAGCAATGATCCAGCTGTTGTTGGAACTCCGTAAAAGCGGCACGAACCTGTCGGCGAGCGGTTGCAAAGTCCAGATTCTGAGAAACGATGGCATTTAACTCTTCGCTGACGCCTTCCGTTGTTAATTTCTTGGCTCTTACAGTGAGTGAAGTGTTGGAGAGTGGCGGATTGGGTTCCTTCTTCCATATGGGTCTAATAGATATTTTGTTCTTGAGAGGATCGTCAGTGGGGAACAGAGATGCCTTATGTAAACGGAACTTGAGAGTCCCAGAAAACTCCATGGCAGGTGAACTTAGTGGGGTGTGGAAACAAGCAAAGATTATGAAAAATGATGGAAGATTATGACAGGTAAACGATCAAATAAGAGGCAAAAAGCTATCGAAATTGGACGAGAAGTTACACAGAACTGAATATCGAAGAAGCATGAAAGATTGAGAAACTCTTCGTCGACGCGCTGACTCAAATTGCAAGTTAAGTTGAATAAAATAAAGGTGTCAAAGTCACAAATTTCCTTTCACACGAACATTGGGCATTGGGGGTGGGTCCCCTGTATTGAAAGGCACAATTATCAGGTGGCTCCTCAGTTTTTTGGAAGCAGAATAATGGGTAAATGAACTTGTGTCAAGAATCAAGATCTTTTTTTTTAAAATCAGAATATTGACATTTATTATCTTTATTTAAGTCAATTTATAATATTATCCGCTGATTTTTTAAGTTCACCCCTTAAATCCCATATCAGAAAAAGCATATACGTTGTTAAAATTGAGATTGAAAACTAAAAAAATGAATAATGTAAAATTAATGATAAATTTACAAAGTTGGAAACTACAGCAACGAATGACTATCTTATTGGAAAACATGTAACTTTCTAATTAAAAAAAACGACAAAATCGTATTACGTTTCAGTTTGATCAATTAATCTTTTTGTTCCCTAAACTCTAATATCATGGTCAAACAATAATTTTTATGTCAATTATTGTTAATTTTTAAAATTTAATTTAATTTATCAACGTTTGAGAATGTTTACCATTATTTAAAATTCTAATTTCACTATCTTTTATTAACAGAATTAAAATTAGATGGCTTAGAAAACATTTTATAATATTAAAAAAAGAAAAATTAGTATAAAATTAAAGGATTAAATGTGTATTTTTGCTTTTAAAGAAATGGAATGTACGTGGATCAACCACGAGGCCCATTTATGAATTGTTTGCTCTAAAATGGAGGCCCATGATCCAAATGGGCCCTATGGCTTCATGAATATTCTCCCAAACATCGAGTTTCAACATGTGAAGAAATTTGTACCAAAAGAAGAAAATGAGGCCTGTTTGCTAAGTCCCTTTTGTGCATTGTAGGCCCCAGGCAGGCATCTATAAGAAACTTGCAAAATTCATCGTTTGTACACAGTGCTGCTCCCTAAAACTTGCATAAATATATTGATGATAATCAAATCATATCATAGTATTAATAAAAAGTTGTAAAGAAGCCGCTCTATTATATAAATAATACACCAGCAGTGCAACTCATTCATAAAATCTAATCTATTGTTCATAATTCAAATATATAATATGACATAACACAAATAATACAACTCGTTATAATTTCAGGGGTTAAGTTATATCCAACCAACTCTGAAGTATCTTTTTAGTACTCAACATTTTAAACTATTTTTAATGCATTTAATACTCTGGAATGTTTCTCTGGTAAAATTCACTATCCTATATTAATTTTTAGTGCAATTTTTTTTTATCAAAGCATTTTTCTCAACGCCGATAAGACCCTGAATTTAAAATACTATGTGCTACTAAAAAAATATTTTGAAATGTTAGATGTGCTAAAAATTACTTTAAGGTATTGGATACTATTAGAAAACTATTTTAAGATATTGAGTGCACAAAAAAATTACTTTAATACAATGGGTAAACAACCACAATAACAAGTATTTCCCACTAGGTGGGATTGATTGCATGTATCGCACGAAAAAATAATTTAATGATGTTAGATGCACTAAAAATTAGTTTTGAATATAGGTAACATGAAAAAAAAATTAGGATATTAGATGCCCCTTAACCCTAATTTTTATATGACATCATATATACTACATTCGATCCTTAATATAAGAGAAAGATAACTAATTTGAAAATATTAAAAAATTAATTAAATTAGTTATTTGTCACAAATATACATTAACCTCTTTAAACTATCTTTTTTAATCATGTGCATTGTAATACCTTTTGATGAGAACCTCTTACCATCAAAAGGATATCTTGGAAAGAATAAGAGGCAAGATAGATTGAAATATTATATTTATGGCCAAATCTAATCTTCTATCTCACTCTTATATTAAGTATCTAAGTAGCAGTAATAATTTTCTTCTGTCATATTTGTTGGCCATTGTCCTCATTAAAGTCTCAATAATTCCTTATTAGTGTAAGGACACTTTGATGTTTCTCTTTGCACAGAAAATGATACAAAATTATGAAACACCAGTACCATGAATTTCTCTTTGGTAATGAAATAAGGCAAGCATGTGCCGCAGTGCCCGGCTACAATTGCCCACAAAGACACAATGATAATGCAGAACCTCTGGCCCCCTTCCCAACGGAAGCCAAAAACCAACAACCAAGGACAACCTCTTATAATATAAATCTCCCCATTTTGCAGGCGTCTTTATTAGTACTATGATTATCATAATAATAATAATAATAACCTTATCGTACAGTCCCATAACACCAAAATTAACTAGTTAATTAATAAGCACTATTCTATACAATAGCTCTTGACCTATGTGGGTTCCACATCCAATAGCTCCAAAACTGAAGACCTAGCTAGGCTGTGTGCTTCACTTTATTAATGTTTTGGCATGACCTAATCAGCTCACCCTCTAGCTAGCTAGTTAGAATTATGGAAATAATTAATTAAATTAAATACCATTTTTTGGGTTTTTGTCTCTATTGAGTTCACTTGGAATTGTTTTTTTTTTTTTTGACCAGACACTTGGAATTGTTTAATTTGCTTCGTTACTTGTTAACGTAATCCAGACGTCAAGTGTGGCTGCGAGAGCCAAGTGGAGTCCATAAAGTAAAGCAATCACTATTTTTTATTTTTAATAATAGTATAACTGTTTTGTTTTGTTTTGTTTTGACATTCTTTGTCTAGGAAAAAAAAAAAAACCTATACATCATAGTCACAAAAAATTAAACACAATCTCATACTTTAACAGTGCTAAGTGTTAGCTGAGATAAACGACTCCGACAATAATAGAATAATGGTTCACTCCGCTTAACTTGACATGCTTATTTTTAAGCGTTTTAAATTAATTAAATCACTACCTCCAATTTCTTGATATAGGATCCTGTTTGATTTTTATTTGGGTTCTAAATATAAAATCCTAATTTACTTCATCTTTCATATTTATGCATTTTTTTTAAGATAGTTCTCATAATAATTGTAGTTCTAACCAATACATTTAATTAGCAACGGCATTTTAGAAAAGATAACATCTATTTATTACAAATAACTAACTTAACTTTTTTTTTTAATCTATTCAAATTAGTCAACTAGCTCTTATATATAGAACCGGAGGTAGCACTAATGAATAGTTGTCTTATTGTTCGCTGCATCCTTGGAATTTGCTAAATAATCCCACCGTCCATTCTAATTCAAAGGCACCTTAAAAAAATAATACCACCTCTAATCCGTAATAAAAGAACTAGTTGATTAATTTGAGCATATTAAGAAAATTAGTTAAGTTAGTCATTTTTAATAAATATGTGTCATTTTTCTTAAAATATCCTTACTAATCAAGTGTACTGGTTAGAACTATTATTATTATAAGAACTATCTTGAGAAAAATAAATAAATATGAAAGACAAAGTAGATTAGAGTCTTATATTTAGGACCAAAATAAAAGTCAAGCGAGTTATTATCTTAAGGACCGGAGGTGGTATTATCTCTAATCCTTAATAGAAGAGTTAGTTAGAGATTCTATTTGGTTCTAAATATAAGACCATAATTCACTTTGTCTCTAATATTTATTCATCTTGTGTTCAAATACGCTATAGTAATTGTATATGTTAAAGAGTTTTCATCAAGTGTTAGCTTTAATTCACATGATTAATAAATATATTGTAAGAAAGATAACATCTATTTATTATAAATAAATAATTTTTTTAATATTCATAAATTAGTTATTTAACTTTTATATTAATAGATCACAGTATCAGTTTCTTGCTTCACTTATTTCCCAGTCGCTCTCTATAAAATTGATGTCTTGCTAATTCCTCGACTTGTGGACTCTATTAGTTATGTAAGATTTTTTTTAAATTTTGATCGTTTTATAAAAATATTAAATTATTAATGAATGGATGAAGGGTTAGCCGTCACCATGTTTATGGCTCTCTTTTCTCTCTTCCCTCTTTCAAATTCTTGTGGTGGCCATAATTGTGAGTATCAATATCAATGTGAACTTGCATGGTCTTTACGCAAGTTTTATCAAGTAACCAGAAACTTTCAAGGGACTGATTTTAATTAAGGTTTTGATGAAATTAATTATTCCCTCTCCCATCCTAAATATAAAAATTAGTTAAAATTGAATTTAATTCCTAATGTAAGATTTTAATTTACTTTGTCTAGCATAAATTTTCTCTCCAAAATTTTTCTGTTGATACTCCTTCAACAATAATTAAAGGGTTTTTATTCAAGAGCCCTGGCACATGAGAATTTTTTAGGTACAAATTTACCTCAAAAGTTTAAAATTGTAGTAATATTACATCCTATTATTAACAAACTAACATTGAATGTTAAACAATAACATTGACCGTTAATATTTTTAATAGTAAGTCTTTCACTAAAATAAAAGAGTATTTTTAATAGCAAGTGACTATTATTATGCTTTTAAATTTTTGAGACAAATTTGCATTTAAAAAAACTTTCACATACTCAACACTCCTGAATGAAAACCTCCTAAATGAATTTGCACTTTAACCCGTAATTAAATACAAAATAATTGAGTAACTATTAGTTGAGTTCATTCGTTGAGGCAGGCGCAGGCATAAACTCCCCTGCTCCCCCTTCAGATTAGTCTATTTTTTCCCTGTAAACTTTTTTTTTTTTTGGTTTTTCACTTCAGTTATTAATTAATGGCACTATTTTTTTTTTAATTTTACATGAGAATCTTTATAAAGAACCAAATTAAATAAGTAACTCTTATATTAAAGATCAGAAAAGATACTAATAATCATATTGATATAATTATTGGATCAAGGTACTGTGACTCGAGGCAATTGCGCTTAGTTGTAGTCGGTAGAAACCATACGTTAGTCAAATTGTGTGGATCATATGACCTTTTGCTTAACCACAAGCTTGTGGCTGGTGATCCCTTCATCTCACATTTCGCCATTTTCTCAAACATCACATGATTCCATTGA